GTGACTACTACTAATATATATTAACGAAGAAACAAGGGCATATGAGTAGCATCAATTGAGGATAGATTAAGGGGGACGGCAATTTAGGCGATGCATGCTCGGCTTTGCTTAAAGCTATAGAGATTACCGTCCAAAAGAGCAATGTGATACCAGTAGAATAATGTCACGGGTCTAGTTTTGTTACACTCGAACAACTAGAAACCGTGCGGCCTTAACGTTTAACATTCTCGTCCCTCGCGAGAAAACGTTGAGCTGCCTTTCAATACTCACAAATAATTTAACCAACTAGGCTAAATTACTATAACCTTGAGTAGAGAATTTGAAGTAAGGAAAACAAGTAAGATTGGAGAAAACACTTTTTGTATATATACAATCTATTTATAGGAAAAAACCTTGCAAGTTGCCTTGAAATCAATGGCTCAGATTAATCTTCATCAAAGAGTCCTCATTGGATGCAAGTTGCATTAAACTCCTTAGACCATAGGGAAAAATAGTTGGAATTTGCTTCATTGCAAGTGGCATGTATCTACAACTCACATGTAAGTGGCCAAATTTGTCTTTACTTCTTCCTTAGCATTATCTTGTAAGTAGTACAAATGACAATTTGGACAAGTTGCACAAATTGTCCATTGCAGCCCATGGTATTTCTCTTACTGGAAATAGCAGTATTTTGCCTCAGAAAACCACATTGCTGTGCTGGAAAACTGCCCATGTCCTGCAACCTGTGTGTTTGTTGTGCTGCCTATGTCCTGCCATGACTGCAGTCTGTGTGCACAAGCTGTCTCCAAAACACTTTGAAAATCCACCCAATTTTTCACGTGAGCATGTTGAAGCCATATAAACCGGATATCACAAAATTACAAAGAGGGCCTACCATTGTCACAAAATCTTTCGAGGAAAATGTTGAATCCATTTTGGCGGATCGAGTGGTGAGACGGGAGGGGTATCCCACGTTGCACCCAATACTTAGTCAAATGGAAGAGGCGGCCCGAATCCGAAGCTACTCGGGAAAACGAGGGGGACTTATGCCAATTTGAGCCCGAGCTTCGACATTACACGGCAACGACAAGGCGACGACGAGGGCGTTTCCAGATTCATGGGGGAGTGACTTACGCCCCATCAGGTCGCAGCCGAAACGTCCCGACAGCGACAGTGGCAGCAAGACAGCCCAGGCAACACGTTGTGAAAGGACGAAATTGCTTGCGGTGGTAGAACGCAGGCAGCTTGTGCACATACTGCATGACACGGGCTGCAGTCACGGCAAGACGCAGGCAGCACAGCAAACACACAGGCAGCAGCAGTCTGCAAGACATGAGCAGTTTTCCAGCACAGCAATGAGATTTTCTAAGGCAAAATACTGTCATTTCCAGCAAGAGATATACCATGGGCTGCAGCTAGATATTTTGGGGATGCAAGTGGACAACTTGTCCAAATTGCCCACTTGCAAGATAATGTTAAGGAAGAAGCAAAGACAAATTTGGCTACTATGAAAGGGACATGTCCACTTGCATGTGAGTTGTAGAGAGAAGCTACTTGCAATGAAGCAAATTCCAACTTTGCTTCCTTATGGTCTAAGAGGTTAATGCAACTTGTATCTAATGAGAACCCTTGGATGAAGATTAATCTGGGCCATTGATTCCAAGGCAACTTGCAAGGTTTTTTCTATAAATAGAGATGTATTCTTATTTATAAAGAGATTCATGGGAGTGAAGTTATTTATATATAAAGAGTGTTTTCCCTAATCTTGTTTTCCATATTTTCCTTACTTCAAATCCTCTACTCGATATTATAGTAATTTAGCCTAATTAGTTAAATTATTTGTGAGCGTTTAAATGCTGACTTAACGTTTTCTCGCGAGGGACGAAAATTTTAAATGTTAAGGCCGCACGGTTTCTAGTTGTTGGAGTGTAACAAAACTAGACCCGTGACATTATTCTACTGGTATCACATTGCTCTTTTGGACGGTAATCTCTATAGCTTTAAGCAAAGACGAGCATGAATCACCTAAATTGCCGTCCCCCTTAATCTATCCTCAATTGATGCTACTCATATGCCCTTGTTTCTTCGTTAATATATATTAGTAGTAGTCACCCTCCCGTTAAGACATCTTCGCCTATGCTACTTTTGTTTAAGATCAAGAATAACTAAGGGAAAAAGAAACAGGATGTAGCTATTGTTCCTCAATATATAATCTTTGGACCTGCAACGGTGTGTCAATAAATAAATAAAAAGAACCCTAATTTCTTCAGCTTGAATAAAAATGATTGTCTACTACAATACATCGTGAGTACTTTCAAAATATACAAAGTACATATTACTTCTGCAGAAACAAAGAATGGAATTAGAAAAATCGTTACCGACTGAAATGTTATCTTTAACGCAGTTGGTGATGATCCCTTTATATCCTGAAGGATTGCTGTCATCCATTCATTTCCTTCTTGGGTTGCCTCAGCTTCCTGAATAAAAGTACAAATCAAACTGTGAATCTCCTAGGACAAATAAAGCACTATTACACGATTCCCATCCAATAGAAATCACTCACAAGTGATGATATGATATCCTCCAGAGTCTCCTTGGAAAAACACTCATCCATTGTTGCCCTCCTGCGTGAAAACTTAAACATGTAAATCCTGTTAACTTTTAAAAAATAGCAAATGTACTTCCATTAAATTATTACTTGTTTAGGACACTTCCTTCGTCGATCTGACTATTTCCAGAGAATTCCTCGATAACAGATTTGACAGCATTCTCTTCACCACTATTCAAGCTTATCAGACGCTTCTCTAGCTCAGGTAATTTCTAGTGCATAAAAAATGTCATATATGAGATTAATAAGCCATATATTTATGAAACATGTTTCAAGGTCCATCCAGATGTGATTAAATGAAAATTATAAAGAACGGTAAAACTTGCATCTATTTGTTCACAGTCAGTAGCAGGAAAGAGAGAAAAAATTCTTACTTAAAACTAAATAAGAACACCAAAATCGCTGTCAAAAGTTCGGAGTGTATAATAGGGAATGAAATGACATAAGCCACTGTAACAGCCAAAATTCAGAGTGATAGAGCGGGGACATGATGAAACAAAATATTGGCACTGCCTGTAGATGCCTAGTGAAAGAAACTACACTTCTGTTCTCCACAAAAATCTTTATAATCTGATACACACAATATATGGCGGACGGTTCCTAGAAATTCAGGACAAGATTTACCCTTGTTTTTCATTATATCTTGAGGCATACAAGCACACCGAATCCAACACTTTGGACATACATATATATAGATAAATTATTTCAACTCTCATAACACATGCAATGAATTCAAAAAGAAGAAACTGTTTAACTCATAACATGGCAATGAATTCATATCTAAAAAAAAGAAATTCAAAACATATAACACAGGTAATTGAGGGTATAAATTCAGACTTCGAACCCCAAAAACACGACTGTGTGTATGCATGTGCATGATTTTCCTTGGAAGTAGTCATCAGCATCTAAGATACCATCATATTACCTCGGACGGGACAAAATGAGTAGCAAGTCCTGCTGCAACTAATTCTTTACCATTCAGCCTTGCCCCAGTTAAGCCCAAATATTCCCCTGCATACATGTGTTTGGCACAAGCCAGTTTTTGGTTACTCTCTGATAGCGTGTGAGAAAGAGGGCATCTTGATGGAGAATAAACAGAAGTAAATGAATTTTTCCTTGATATTTATTACCTAGATGCCCAGGGAGGCGGGAAAGAATATATGAAAAGCCACAGTCAGTATGGAAGCCTATACTTGCTTCAGGAGTCGCAAAAACCTAACATAAAATATTGATGAGATGCACCTCGGAAGGCATAGTAGATTGATTGCAGACTAGACTATAGCCTTTTAGACCCAAAGATCAAAATCCAAATAAAAGCAAGAAGTATCAGTACTAACAGTCTTTTCCGTGACAACAGAGAACTTCATCGGAACCATCAAGGATGCACCTCCACCCATAGAAATTCCATGAACTAGAGCAACCTGACAAGGTCAATACAGATAGTAGATCTCAGCAAGGACTCTGCAAATTGTCAGGAATATTTGATTCCCTTTGTGTAAAGATTACAAGTCACTGATGTATGTTACTATCATACCTGTGTTTTCTGATATGTATGGATGTGGTAACAAAGCCAATACATTCTATAAACCACTTCAAGACATGAATCCTCTGAGAAATAAAATAATGCATTGCTAAGGGAACTTTTGCAGTGATAAACAGATCAAGTTCTTGTACTGTAAGTTACTTACTCGAAGTCCTTCCATCATAGAACATTTTCAAATCCCCACCAGCAGAAAAAGCACGTCCAGCTCCCTAAGAAAACATGAGCAACTTACATTTAAACTTCTGAGGAAATTCTAGACAGAGAAGCAAAAACGCTACTAATCGATTATCAAATTTCATAATATGAGTAATAGCTTCGAATTATACCTTGATTAGTATGAGTTCTGCATCATCATCTTTTTCCCATTTTTCTAGGTACTCTGCTAGCAAAGCAACCTGGACAAAGAATACTGAGTCTGATATGTCCCTTCATCACAGAAACAAAAATAATAACTGTACAATATTGAGTCTATTCCTTCAACATACCACTTTAGATGAAATAACATTCAATCGCCGGGGCTGGTTCAAGGTGATCGATCTCACATGGCCAATTTCCTCACCAAGAACAACCTGAAGGAACGATTTAGCCAACCAGCAGGCATTTATATAAGAGGCATCATTCAATTGGTACTTGCTGAAAGAAAATGCAACAGCATGCAAAAGATTTGGAGAGTTACCAATTTGTTTCCTCCAACATTCTGAGAAACAGAAATTTAGACTGAAAATTACCTGTTCATCTGAGGTTGTAACCTCTTTTGCCATTAGAATAGTAATCACTTTAGCCCAAGATTCCCAAGATTTTACAAGCAAAACTACAATCAGCCAACGAAAGAATGTTAAATGAAAGTAGCAAACAAAAATGGAAAACAGGAATAGATTAGATAAGCCAGTGATCGTCTACAGGTAAAAATGATTTCATTTATATCACCCATATTAATTCATATTTTTTGAATTGTGAAACAATAAAATGTATAAAATATACTCACTGCACAAGTAAAACAAAATAAAATGATCCCATATAATTTCATACAAATAATGAACAAAAACAGAAACAAAGATTGAATCTTTAACAGATTAAACAAAACAAGAAACTTGCAAAAAAATGAAATGGGATTCTACCCATCAAGAAAATGTTTCACTTTCTTGAAAATAAAATGGGATAGATTACTCGTTATTCGTTGCCTTCATGAAGTTCAAGTAATCTAGGAGACAAAAGAGACAGCGCAAGAAGTTCACTTACAAGAACAGGAGAGTTTGATTATCTTCAGTGATAGAACCAGGGAGACGAGATTAGGTTAAAAGAAAATTTTACAGAGAAAGGTCTGAGTTGCAGTGGGAGTGGGTGGTGAGTTGGGTTGGTGAGTCGGTAGGTTGTAGTCCTTTTCTTGGAGAGAGATATATATGATGCTATATGTACACTTTTTGACACGTAGCAATACACCAACGATCAATTTAAATTTTGAACAATTTTTCCATTCAAATCAGTTGTTGACAATGTTTGTAATATCGACGATAATGTACAAAAAATAGTGTACAAATGGCATTGTATCATGCTAATATGCTATATGTAAACTTTTTGACACGTAGCAATATGCCGACGAACAATTTAAATTTTGAACAATTTTTCTATCCAATAAATTGTTGACAATATTTGTAATATCAACAATAATGTAAAAAAAAAAAAAAAAAAATAGTGTACAAATCGCATTGTCCAAGATATGTTCATAATTTCCTCCGTCCTACCTACCTACCTACCAGTTTTAAACCTTTTTAAGTTTTTAAAGTCCTTGTTGACAATCATATTAGTATTTGTCTTGTGGCAATTTTAATTCAAATTTTAAACAATTATTGGAGTATTAATAGCCTCAATTGTTGACTTCCTTCACACATTTTAGACAGTCGTGGAACCTACTAAATATCAGAATTCTGCTTTTAATTTCCTTCAGACGAGCCCTTATTGAACTCTTTTTTTGTATACTTATTTTTAATAATACAATAAAATATTTTACACGTTAATTCAAAAAAAAATTTATTTTTTAATTACTCATTCTTATAAAAATCGCAATCGCTGTTCAAAAGTCTTTCTTCCAAAAGTGTAATAGTCAAACGTGGGTGAAATGTATGTACATAGGACATGTATGCTTGGTGTTGGTGGAGTGTCCAACTTCGGTATTAGCAATTTTCAAATGCCAAATCAATGCTCATGGAATGACTGTGGAGCGTGTATAACCTTGAAAATCGAACCCAAATTAGGAGTGGGCTTGGCCCAATTATGCAAATTTTAGAAAGTGAAAATTACATTATACTAGGGGAAAATTATATAAAATCAGGGATTTAATTTGTCATTTTTAAAAGTCAGGTTTTAAGTTTATTTTTGTAAAAATCAGGTTGTATATTAAAACCTCATTTCTCCCCCAATTCCCGTCGCCTCCCCTCCCCTCCCCTCCCCTTTCATGCTTAATCGGGCACTTGGACTTTTTGAGATGTCGAGGCTAGAGATTTGCTCTTGTAGAAATCAAGACTAAAGAAAAAAAAAA